TGAAATATAGCTCAAATAATGGACTTCGTTTTTATGAAAACTGAACTTGTCTTCTGTTCATGAAAAAATAAGCGTATGTGAGTTTTGTGTATGCATGGTGATTTTGCACTTGACTGGGACCGTCTTGTCACTGCGTTGGAATGTACAATACACAATTCAGGTGTTATATACTGGTGCTTTGTTACATCTGTGTTAACAAAATTCTCTCAGATATTTTTAAAAATTCATACACACTGTAAATTTTCCACTTAAATTTTTCCAATTTATCCCACTTCACTGACTTCATAGCAACAGCTCAGGGCATTTTTAGACTGATCACCACACAGAGTTAAGCAATTTGATGCAGGAAATAAACTGTAACAGATAACAGGAAAATATGAAGAACATGCAGTCATAGCAGGATTATGCAACTGCTACATAGGAGCTGTTTGGTAAGGGGATTGGGAGAACAAATCATTCTGTGGCAATAATACCAATAATATAGAGCCACGGTGGTCTAGCGGTTAGAACGCTGGCCTTGTAATCCTGGGGTCTCGGGTTCGATTCCCGGCGGTGCCCGAATTTATAACTTGTGTTGGGCAAGGCCGTGGTCTAGGCAACACGGAGTTTTCCTCCGTGGCATCCCAACAATTACTCCATTCACACACAGAAGAAGGCAATGGCAAACCACTTCTGGATCATCTGCCAAGAACGTATATGAACAGGTCCAGTCCGAGAAAAGGATGGAATGATCCTGTTCATATGGACCTGTCGTCGGGACAGAACACTAAATAAATAATAAATATCAATAATGCATTTATTTCATGCACTTTGTCCAAAGACAGCATGATATTAGAACATAGTATGCCCAAAGCATCTTATTTTGTAACAGACACTATAGCTGATCTGTAAAAACCACAAAATCCCTCATTATATAGTATCCTGAAGTTTACACTGTGTCCTTGTTAGGTCTAAATATTTTCCTGAGCAGTTTGTCATAAATGTACATGTATGCAGGTACTGTATATAGTGTCTCTGAGAATCATTAGAATAAGCCTGTGATTCATCATAACTGAAGTACATACATGTATATTTTTGCTATGTTGCAGCATGCCAGTAGGACTAGAAGATGTGTCCAAGTATCCCCACCTATTTGAACGCCTGGCACAAACTAATGAACCAAGATGGAGCACTGAAGACCTTAAGAAACTAGCAGGACTCAACCTAATAAGGGTCTTCAAGGAAGTTGAATTGGTTTGTATCAACTACTGTTCAAGTACAGGTAAACCTCGATTTGCGCCGATTCAGAATAACGCCGCTTTTGAAGCCAGCAAGTCAAAATGTGAAGAAAAAAAATTACTATTATTTATAACGTTTTACACTGTTTATAGTACTGATTCTTATACCAAATCGTAATTCTTACATCGCTGATTTTGAATAAAAAGTATAAATACAGTCACCTCTGCACTCATTGCTAAGTAATTGCGAGATAATCTCCTAAAAATCCGCCAACATTGCGCAACAGTCACGTGAGCATTGGTCACTCTTCATTTGCGTTCAGTCTGATAAGGGAGTAAGGAAAAATGCGCTCAGTTCGCTTCTTGTTGACACATTGAATGTGCTGAAAACTGTGTGCTAAACGTGTTTGTGGTGTTGTTCGACCACTATTCTGCAGTAGCAACTGTTTTATATTTATAAATTGTAGAAGAGCCACCATGTCTGGTAAGAGAGGTGAATGTGTTGCTAAAAAGTTGCGTAGGTCTATTGCGTTAGAAGATAATTTGGACGTAATTCGTAGAATAGAAGGTGGTGATACCCGTCGTAATGTGTGCAGAAGTATGAAGTTGCCTCCTTCCACTGTGACTACCATAATGAAGAATTCATATAAAATAAAACAGTCAATGCAACGACAGTAAGTGCAACGCATAGCAGAAGCAAACTTTTAGAAAGAATGGAGAAATTACTGTTGCCATGGGTGGATGACATGAATCGGAAAAACATTGCCTTGACTGAAATTGCTATCAGGATAAGGCGAGGTCAATTTTGGGGGAAATTAAGTCGTAAATGTTTGGGTGCCGGGAACGCATGTCATTGACTTCCCATTGATTCACATTATAAAAAGTTTCAGTTTACACCGATTCCATTTACGCCAGTTCGTCCAGGAACGCATCCCCGGCGTAACTCGAGGTTTACCTGTACATAATTGTTCCCCAATCTTCAAACCTGGGTTTCTGGTGACATTCTAAGATGTTCTGCAAAATACTTATATAAATTTGAGAGATTCTTAGCCATTCCATAAAAAGATTCTCAAGGGGTTATATGGTGAGATTCTAAGCAGTTCTGAAGATTCCGTGGGATCCTTTTGACATTCTCAAGAATTTCCTGGAAGGTGTTGTGTTTTCTGTAGAATATCATCTAAACTTCAAACACATTCAAAGCCCTTGCGTTTCACTCTCTTTACACTCATAATATTTGCATGGAGGGTCATATTTTGGATTCAAACATTGTGCATTAGTATTCAGCCATTAGAGAAATATTGGTGAAAAACATGGCAACTACTTGCAATACAGTTGGGTTCTGCAAAACATTTGGAAATAATTTCCCCGCCCCCATGATTTCCCCATAATACATTTATTCTGTGCAGTTTGTCCAGTGTTAACAAAATATTAGCACACAGTATGCCAGAAACCTTTATTATCCATGAGAATATTTTTCATAACCCAAGGGAGTTTGTAAACCACAGTTTCATTACCATTCTTGCTGTTTGCAGGTGAGAGACAAACTAGCGAAGACAATGCATGAACCACACCATGAAGATCTGCTTCCCGTCAAAGACCTGGGTTCAAACACAGACTGCCGTACAAATCTGAATGCTACATCATAAGTAATAATGTTACACACATACAGCATCTCTTTCACAAATGGAAAAGCTACTACTTGAGAATACACTACATACTCTTCATGACAATGAAGTTATCAAATTTTGGTTACTGAAAAGATGAAAAATGAGATACTGGTTAATCAGTTAAAAAGTATTAAAATACCTAAAGGACTACACTAGCCTACACCTGGCTTTGTTTGGAGATCTACATTATTCTGAATGGGTGACTACAAGCCATTCTCTTATTTTAGATCTGGGAAAAGAACACTTCTCTTCTTTCAGGTGCTGTGCTCAATTTTTTTGCCACAACCTGGAGATATGAGATGCATGTAGCCCTGAAATTTAAATTTAGGTTAACACCTCCCAGCAAGATACGCCTGCCACTTTTGCAATGAATATTTTCAGTGCTGAGGAAGTACACCAAAAAGTCATTGCCTTATTTTATTTTGATGCACTTCTTTAGTTTTTTTATTTTTACACCAACTGCAAGAAATTAATTTATGCCAAATCTTTTCTATATAGGCCTATAACAGCAAAAACAAACAAACTGCAAAGGAACACCAATTTTCCAGTCCATCATGAAGAAAGTGTATGTTTAGCTAAACACAATTCTGAGAATGAAGCAGTAAAATTGTATACCTAAATCTGCCACACATGTTATCAAACCTCACTTCTGACTTCCACAAGACTGTCATTATTCAGATAGTAAGGCTTTGTTTTTTAGCCATTCAGCATGCAGTTCCATATTTATACTTCATTTTGAATGAGTAATTTCACCTACAGCCTATTTATGAACCGCAAGGACTATTAATTTTAAGACTATATCCTGCCCAGTAAGAAAAGCAATGGATATTTCATTACCTGCATGAGTTGCACCAATACTGAGGAAAAATTAATCAATATCATGTTATACTGAAGCAAAGCAACCTCAAAAATCAGTCTCACACACTTGCAATACCTCACTTACAAAAGGAACAGTGATTCCAGCACTATAGCAAATCTTACCACATAATTTTCTTCAATGACATTATTACAGCAGGGGCTAGGAAATTACAACTTGCAAATAAACTGACAAATGAGGTTAGTAAGGATCAAGAATTACACTTATCACTGTATCAAAGAGGTCTGAGTAACAGTTCAAAGGCCACCAGGAAGTATTCATAATCTCCAGTAAGCCCTCGTACTTAAATACTTATGCAGTCCTATTTTGAGAACAAACTTATTTACTTAGCAAAATTTTTCCTACTTTTGCCTTCAGCTGCATCCACAGAACTGATCTTGCTATACCTGTCCTATGTGTTACTACAGAAATTATAACTTTGCTAAGTTATAGTGTGTGCACTCCTGTTTTACAACACTGTCATATAACTTACCAATTCACTGATTGAAAAAAATTCTACACTTACGCCTTAAAATTTTGGCATATAACAACAATACTGTGTAAACATTTCTTCACTCCTGCCATAGATCAAATCAATTTTCTGTGTAGAAGTTGGTACACACAGGCCTTAAAAAATGTTTCTGAGAACTTATCATCATCCTTTCCCATATTAGGCCACTAGGCCTGTTACGGTCTTGTATTTTCCGTCCATCTCTTCTGAGGTCAGCCAAGAGATCTTTTCACAGCAGGGCGGTATTTCAAAATTACCTTTGGGAATCTACTGTTGGAATCTACTAATCTAATCTATCCACATAATTTGCCCAATTTTGTTGATATTGCCAAATGTAGTTCATTACAGGTTCCATCTGAAGTTCTGTCATAATGTCCTCATTTCTCATGTGGTCAAGTTTGGTGTATCCCATAGTTCTTCTCATGAATCTCATTTCGCAAGCTGTTATTCTGCCAATATCCTGTTTTTTTTAAAGTTCACGCTTCGCTTCCATATGAGAGGACAGGTCTCGCGAGAATGTTGTAGAGGCGTAAGCGGGTATGTTTCTGAACATGTGAGGGCTTGAAGACATTACTGGTAATACCCATTGTTTTCGTGTGTTTATTAATTTTTTGTGAAAGTACAAACTTAAGAGATCCAAGTATAGTCTGGCTTTACCAACAGCGCCTCAACAAAATACTTGCACAAAAATCAGCTGGTGGAAACATCGAAGAGGAATTGCAGTGCCTTCAAAATATAAACTTATAAACAATCTATGTAAAAGTATGTATTAATACATTCCTGCCTTCATTTGTTGTTATAGCCATAATAAATTTTCTATAGACATTTATCTACCCCTGACATCATTGCCAACTATAAAACAAGATTATCCAACAGACAGTATTAAAGCTACTATTTTTGTATCATCAGCATCACTAATCCTAAAACTGTATGGTAGCAGGCATTTCCTTGAATGGATAAATCATAAAACAAGCATGAAACTGTAAACCTCATTTATGTCTACTGCATTTCAAACTCTTAAAACACAATGATTAGCCATAACTAGGACTATATCTGCTCATACTTGCTTTAAGGCACAGAGCAGATGCAAAAGTTTGCCACAGACTGAAAAATAGAATTGCTCTGCTTTATCCTTGACATGCAACTTGGTATTTTTGTAGGATTTGAGGTTTTCATGGCAGTACATTTGAAGATGGCTGTCTTCTGTGTTGCTGTACCATGTAGTCTGGCAGAAGTTTACTTACATTCCAGAGGTCCTGGCTCCATCTGTCCATCCATCTGGTCAATGATAATGGAGGTACCAAGGACCTCTGAAACGGTAAACTTCTACCAGACTACATGGTGCAACAACCCAGAAGACTGCCATCTGCAACTTGGTATTTTCTTTTCATGTTTAGCTGGAAGCCAAACATATAACAGTTATGCATGTACCATAGCATCCAGTGTCTTCAAAATGTTTTATTTTTCTGTAAAACAGTATTTTTTAATTAAAATGTATGTATTTTTTATAACAGAAAAAAACATAGTTCATGTTCTTTATATTCTGAAAGTGCCTTTCACACATGTTTGTGTTGATTTTCTGTTCCATGTCAAAATGTATCATGTAAATAATTTTTTGGAATTTATAAGAAAATATTTAATTTTAAGTATGTCTTTTTATCAGTTGCAGGAATTAGCAAATTTTATGCCTGTACCTACCTCAAAACATATTCAGTCTCCTTGGTCTTCTCACATACATCAAACATTATCCACTGAGACTGAATGTCAGCCTTGAGATGGAGACGGTATATTCCTCCAAAACATATGTATGCACTAACAAGTCCACAGTGTCACAATGTGGAAGACCAACACTAACATCTTCACTGCTATGAGAACCTCAAATCTCAATCAGAATTTATTTAGATTTCATAGATCCTTCCTAGTACAAGCAAAAATGTCACATAATAGTATGAATATGAATACCTAGTAAAATAAAATACAAGAGAATTATAACTGCATAATTATTACATTTAAAGTATTTAATAATCTGTCAATGCTGGCTTAAATACTTTTATATCATGATTTAAACTTGTAATTCTATCTGTATGAGTACTGAATAATTGATCCCTACATAATAATTAGTGAGGTTAGTGCTCAACTGATGGAGATCATACTTATACCATGTATTCATGCTATATATGTCAGAGTTTGTCTGAAACTTCTCCAAATTGGTAGCAATTGAGGTCCTCACAGTGGTGTGTACAAAGATGTACAAATAAGTATAACAAGGAAATGCAATGTACACAGACCCCTCTTGATCATAATACTCCTGTAATCTGTGATATTTACCAATGGTATGGCTTTTCTTCATGCTCATCATAGATTTGAATAGAAACCTAAATTTGTATTTGTATAATGCTGTAAATGGTTCATCTACCTCGAGAGTCTATTTTTTTTACATACCAGTTTATTCCATATATAAAATTTAGTGTAGCAATACTTCATATTGTAATAATATTAACTTTTCGTCAATGTTCTGTGTTGTAATATCATGTGGACTGTTTTGGAAGTCGTAGATAGGATACGTTATATATTACCGAGTAAAGAGTATCCAAATTGTTTGTTTTAACATATTACGTTGTTGTACAAAGAAAAACGTTCATACTCAAAGTTTGGTAACTGGCCTAGTTGACTAATAGCCATGGCCAAACACAAGCAGCTACCAGAGATCATTCGACCACAAAGAACACGAGAAGTGAACGTTTGACGTTTGAAGTTCGGTTTCATACAACTCTTGAAAAACACACCCACGGACTAACGACACCTGAGTTGTGTACATAATGTAAGATATGTTTACTTGTGCGTGAGTTTAGCAGTAATCGTCTATAATAAGCATAACACATTAGAGATGGGATTTGTTGCACTACTCTAATTTCAGGTTAGAATTTTAAACATACGTTATGTTTAAGAAGCCGCATTATGTGTCTTAAATAGCCAATTAGAGTAGCCCAAGTTTTATAAATTAGCAACTTAGATTTACCACCCTTCTGTTACTGTTTAGGTATAATTATAAATTAAAACTTCTGCAGTTATATGTCTATATTATAGATTGGGTGATTACATAAGTCGGAACGGTTTGGACTTCCCCCAGTAACAACTGAAACTCATATTGTTTGGGGGCATTTCTTAGCCTGTACTTTGATAAAATTATGATCACTGTCATTGCAAAGTTCATAAGTACTTTAGAAATTATGAAGTCCAAAGGATGATTGGCAACTCAAATGGGAATGGTGGCACCAAAATGATTTTCAATGTTACATGGTTGGGGAGTTTGAAATAATTTTACCATTTCAATAAAGTAAAATCATACACTGATGGCAGAATAATATCATATAATCATAAGCTGTAAAGTGATCAGAGCCTGAACCTAACCACTCGTCTCCATATAACATTGAAATTATGCATGTAGAGGTTAAGCACAGAAACGATTTTACCAGGTTGGAATAACATGTAACTGTTATTTCAGAATCACTTTATGGATATGGAAGGTGAAGATGATGAGACAATCAATTTCATTGCTCTAGAAACCGAACTTCATGCTGCAATAGAAGAAGATGCTAAGTACTGGCGAGAGAATGATGCAAAATTAAAAGCTGTGGAGCAACGAGTTGCCACATTTGATGAATTCAGGTTACCTAGCAGTTTACATGTTTGAGTAATCATGTGGGAGATACAGAATACCATTTTACAATATGTAAACTGTGAAACTTGCAGGGACCTGGTAAAAGCATCGCACTTAAAACCACTGGACAGAACTGAGAAGCTAAACAGTTTACAACCCAAGAGAAGCAGTATATGGAACAGTCTTGCCCCTAGAAAAAAGCAGGGAGTTGAAATGGAAACCACCCAGCCATGCACTCTGAATATGATACAGGTATATTGCAAAATGGCTCCCATTCATTAACCTTACCATACAGAAATATTGAAGATTTAAATCCCCATTGTGCTGCTGGCTGGACCTCAACACTGGAGTTAGTTTTAGTGATATGCGACTGCAGCACACAGCCAGCTAGAATGCACAGCTGATCAAGGTTAACCAATATAACACAAAATTTACAGTGTTAATGATAGCACGCAAATGAATACACATTTCATAACATATTACTTTTGAATTTCACACCTCATTCATATTGATGTTTATTTATTGTAGACACAAAGCAAAGCACATGTTTAGTATTAACTAGTAAATGTTTTACATATCACAGTTAAGTAATATGAGGGTAGTGCAAATAAAACTATGGTGTTGTTACAAAGTATGGCCAGTTCGAGGTTATGACACGACTGTGAGGATTACACACGAGCAAATCATAAGCTGTGCGACAGAACAAGTGTGAGCCAACAGGAAGAGTGTGACACAAATATCAGCATTCAAGGTGCGGAATCCATCTGAAAATTACCATTAGCTGTCTGTGTTCTTTGTCAATGGACTGCTGCTCAAGGACCCTGAAACCACCATTACCACACGCTGCTTTTGTGGGACCTTCCAAGACTTTTATACTGCCTTTAAGAAAAAGCATCATGGCATGTTCAGCCCCCTCAAAAATGTTGAAGGACCAATGAATTGGGCCAGAGATATCAAGGTTGAGGTGGTTCCAGCAGCAGCCCAGCACATTCTTTGCAGAGGACCCATCATTTAATTTGTCTTTGGACATCTGTGCCCATGGGGATTATTTTTAATAGCCTCTACTCCTTCACCTAACAATCTCTGAATAAGCCTCATATGAATGATTCTCATCAAATTCATTACCTACAAGCAACATTTTTTGGCTAAACAGCCATAATCATGTTCATTTACAATATATTCATTTTAAATCATGCTTTTTAAAAGAGCCTATTCATGGCTGTTATGCAAAAACATGTTGCTTATAAACAATTTTATTGTTTATCTTTGCAAGATTGTTACTATTTAGGTAAATGAAACTACTCTTTTTTGTGTAACACAGACTAACATTCTTACATATGATACTGTTCAAGAAACAAATTATTTGCCATTTGCATTTCATTAAATATGCATCACATGACAAGATGTTTAAAATAAAAAGTTGAGATATGGGATACCTTAATGAGATCTGTATTTCATATAATGTACAGATTTTGAGAACATCAACAAAGCTTTGATTCGAACTACACATGTAATTTGCCCAACAATGTTTGGTTTATACATCCAAATACCAAATTTAATCAAAAACCATTCAGTAACTTTGGAGATACAACATAAGGACACAGCCTTTCTATTATGCATAAAATATAAATGAAGTACCAGCATCAAACAGATGAAACACGTGTATCTGCTATCTTGATTGCTGCATGCAACTGCCTGATTCTAGTGGTAAAAAACAATGACAGTGGTGAAAAATTTATGTTAATGCATGAAGAACAGTTGCTACTGTGATTTTGTAATAGCTGCAACAACAAAAAAGTAGAAATCTAAGCCAGGGTTAATCCAGAAACTTCACTGTTTTAACTGACAACCATTTAATTCTTCCACAGCATGGAGACAGTGTGCCTACAACAGTAGAATTTGTCAGGCGATGGCGACCACTGGATATATGTGATCGCCTCTTGCTCCTCAAACGCACTGGTGCACAGACTGTAGGGCAGTTAGTTAAATCAGAAATACCAGTAGGAATATTAGGGGAGATCCTTCAGGCTTTGTTGGCTTTCCCATCAAATACCACAGACATTGTATTTGTGGTCAGGTTGTTGGAAGCTCTGACAGAAGCAAAACGGTGAGCATTCAGTCAAAACAAAACTTTTTCTCTGATGTAACAATGTCCCCAACACTATAATTATAAATATGGCTAGGTTGTTGTACCATGTAGTCTGGTAGAAGTTTAGTGACATTTCAGAGGTGCTTGCTGCTTCCATCATCAGGGTGATGCTTGTCACCACAAGAACCTGAAATCTTACTGTAATTATAAATTATTGTGATACCATGAATAAATATCTTACCTCACGCTTCCTTGCCGTCTCAGTGGCCACATGGTCACTGGGATCGTGGGTTCGAATCCCACTCAAGCCATGGATGTTTGTCAGTGTTTTTCTTTGTTATGCTGTCTTGTGTATAGGTAGAGGCCTTGGGACGGGCCGATCCCTCGTCCAAGGAGTCCTACCGAATGTCTATAGATCAAAGCCAATGAAAAGTTGGGACCCGCAGTGCTCAGGCACTTGAAGAACGCGTCGTCAAAGTATCAGAGTAAGTATGAAGATTTCTGTCTTCTGGGTTGTTGCGCTGTGTAGTCTGACTACACAGCGCAACAACCCAGAACACAGAAATCTTCATACTCACCGCTGTGAAAACCTCAAATCTTACATAGAGTAAGTATCACACTTTCTTTATATTTCTGTTTTGAAGTTCATATTTCAGAATGTCATAGCTTTTTTAATTTCATTGATATCAACCCTGCCCCCTAAGCAGGTTCATATAGCGCTAACACCTGATTTGCAGTTAAATGTCTTGATCAAGTCTCATGTACAGCATTCAAGATCATGAGGTAGTTTTCCACATCCTGTCTAGGTAGGTGAACATTGAGACTTCATTCAAGAAGGCCATGACTGTCTGTAAATTATAGGTATTTCCGTAATAATAATGACAAATGTGAATACTGGTGATCATTTAGTATTCAAAGAGTTAAAGAAGACTCCATTTAGTATTCTTTATCATAGTATGAACTGCTAAAACAATCTAGTTAGACATCAGTTTGATATGTAATGTTATACCATGATCCCAGAAGCTCTGTAGCTGTTCATGAAGTGACTACAGGATAGATGACAAATTTTATGTCTGACATGATCAGAGACCTTGGTGGAGGGCACCATGCCCAGACTGGGTGTAGAACCTACTCATCTTATCCAGCTGATACCAGGGGCTTCTTTCATCAAAAGTGAATAGTCCACAATATGTGGTTAACAACTAAGTAGTATTGCCTCCATTCTACTGTATTTCTTAGTCTAGTGCTTATCTCTACTGTAAAAGATTATTTTATCAGATAATTTTGAATGTTTTTATTTTCCAGATTTAATCTAAGTCTTCAGTTTTTGAGCTCTGTAGAAAAAGCAACATGTAAGCAGCTGATGGAGAAGTTGAATAGAAGTTTCCAGAATCGCCAGCAGGACCTTGCAGAAGAAGGAATCACAGAATGGACTGTTCTTGAGCTCAAGAATAAATATAAAATGTAGGAGAAATACAGGACACAATCAACACATCATTTCAAATTGAAACGTGTACAATAATATTACAAATTTTTATCTATTTTGGAAACATTGCATTACTGATTGAAATGTTATGTAATATACAGCTAAAATGCATAGACTACCAGTGGAAAATTAGTAACATGACTTTCATTTCCTTGTGCTGAGCATATTTTTATTAACAATTGTCCAACCTTCGTTCTGTATGGTGTTTGAAATTGCTCTTCTGTTAGGTATTTACTGCTTCTACGCACCTCAGCTACTGAATAAGCAAGCAGAAGTGAAGTTCACATGCTGTTGGATCCACCATGAAGCTGCACGGCATCAAAATAATAACATATTTAGTTCCAGTTACCTGATAGTAATTGAGCCTCTGGTTACTGGTGAACTAACTTCTTCACTGATCTGCTGTGCTACCATCCAAATGGCAATATTCTGATGTCAGTATTAAAATAATGGATATGGAAATATACACAGCCACAAACACACAGCTTCAGAAACAAAACAAAAAGCAATTGAGTTAAGCGGAAAAATGACCTGGTCTGTTAGAATTCTGGTATAATCAGGCTTAATGTATCAGTTTATAAATGAGTATACATTTTGGAACATCCATGTCAGAATATTACTTAAAACTAAATGTGAGTGCAGCAAAAGCCTTGGTTGCAAGCTGCTGTTCAACAGCAACATTTCCTGACAATGCTGCTAGCTTGTGGCTTAATGTCAGACTGCAAATTATAATAAATATTGTACCAAATTTACATGAGTATAAGCCACACTTATTTTCCCAGATCTCCATCCACTATAACTCGAAAGAAGCTTGTTAGTAAAATATATGACACTGTTATTCTGGGTTGATACACCAAGTATATTCATAGGTATATCCAATGATTTGGAGAAGCATACTGCCTCCATCTTCAGGGCTGAAGCTAGTATCTACCTGTGAGTGTACACGGCATCACAATCCAGATCATCTTCATTGCCATGAAATTATCACAAAATATATTTTGATGGCAACATACTGTTGCGACTGTAATCTTGAGACTCACGGGGTGAAGGAGGAAAGATAGTGTCTGCTATGCAGTAGCCTTTAACGCTTCGGACTTCCTGCATTCCTTCCAAGTCTCAAGATTACAGTCACAAACAGTAAATGGTCTGTATTGTAGTTGATAGGAAATGCTATATTACAGTTTTGGACATACAGAATTGGTACAAAAAATCTGAATACGAGTGAAAAAAATAAACAGTTATTTCACAGAAGAATGGGAGGATGAAACTGTATTAAATAATGAGAGGTAAAAGAGCCTTGTTTGTCATGGAACTGCTATAATAAATGTTTTTTGAACTTAAAAAGAATTATAACTCTGGCTGGTACTTGAAGAAAAATTAATTTAAAAATATTGATCTTTTTTCTTCTTCTTAAAATTCAAATGTAGCAAATTTTAATGCACATGGCTTATATTCACACAAGTACCACAAATGGAAAATGTATATTGTGAAAGTGAAGTTAAAAATGCAGAACAAGAAGTAAATTAACTTGTTGACAAACGCAGAATCTGTGTGTTGTTTTCAATTTTGTTCGAATGTGATGGTGAACATATGAGATTTATGACCAATGAAATTGTTTAATATTCTCTGTACATAATTTTTAATTGTGAATGTTCAGTGTCAGTGATGACACCTGTTTGATTTCAATACCACATAAACATGTTGGTTTTTATATTGCAAATGAACATTTCACCATGACACTATAATAATTGGAGTGTATGGTATGTGTACTGTGCAATGTAAGACAGGCAGCATACTGGTCCTTGGAAAAAGCACTACTGTTTTACTGGTCCATGAATCAAAAAGAGACTGAGTAAAAGCATTGATGTACAGTGCTCAGGTATATGATACTTATAAATCACATTAATCTGTCATATGTTGTCCCTTCTCACCCTTACTTGGACCCCATGTTTTTAAACTTGTTAATATTAATTGTAGTTGTCCCACCTCTGGTGTGAATCATGGGGTGGCCATTGGAATTTTAACAATGATGCAGTGGTAAGGATCACTCCCCAGCTGCGTGCATTAGCTTTAAAAAGGGTCTCCATGTTAGAATAAACGATGCATGCATGCATGGGTCTCCCATATATGGACATGGAATGTGGAACAGTCTTCCATATATGGGCATGGAATAATTCTGGCCAATCAGAAGTGATAATTTCAGGGCGGTTCCCAGGGCACACATCATCTTGAGCATCCTTAGAAATTCTATATAAAGCGCAAGATTATTATCTTGCGTTGATTTTTTGGGGCAGTAATTGAAGACAGAACCTGTGTCGCTGGTGGCCACGATGTGGAAACTGCGGTGATTTGCAGCTGGGGTGAGTAGAACCTATCGTCCGTTGGGTGGTGACGAGTAAGGAGTTGGTTCTGGTTCTGACATTGTATCCTTAATATTATGTAATTATATTAGTAGCTTAGCGAAGGGTGTTTTATTGAAGGGTAAAATGTACTACTCCCCCACCCAGTGGCACCCGTCCTTGCAGTCCTGCCAAGAGGGTTAACCAGTGGCATAACATATATTACCAACATTCTGCTGCTGAACATTCTATGAATGAAGTCTGATATCTGAGTAACAATATTTTATTGGTTTTTGTTATTTTACATTGTACATTTTCTGATATAGATAATTACATTAGACTTTAAAAAAATAATAAGAGTTTCTCAGTAACTTCAACAGCATATGACTTTAAAACTGAAATCAAATATGTATCCATAAAAATATGTCCCAACACCCTCATCACCATAATCCCTAATAATGAAAAACAAATTCACTGTAACACTTTCAAAGACAGAGCTCATAAAAACACAGTAATATATTATGCCTTTAACACTTCTTTATAGCCTCCTGAAAAGTAGCAATATGCTAAATTATGGTACAAATCTCTGAATCACAATAAGGCATTAATCAGTATGTTCGACACTGGGCATGCAGTACACTTGAAACCCATTCAAAAGTATTTCAATTAGGAAAGAAAACATAAGCATGGTCCCCCTATTCACCAAGAAAAATATTTCTGTTGTTACAGAGTAAGTTATATTCTACTAGCAAATACTAGTTACTAACAAGTATGGAAAGTATATAGTCATCAGTCTTACTGAAATGCAATTTAGATGCTGAAAACAAAGTACCAATACAGTATTCCCTAATACTTGGCATACAAATATGAAAAAGAAAAAAATATATAAAATATGTTTCTCAAATAAGCAGGATATATCCTCTTCATGCAAATCAGTATTAAATGCAGACAGTTTCAATTATCCAGGTTACTTACAACAGATAAAGAAACAACATGTGGAATATGTAACAAGTCCTGATAATCTAGACAAAATTTCAAGCACATATGAATCAGAGGTTCCAAATATTAAATCATTCTAGATCTTTCACATGTACATTGTTATTCAGCCCTATATAAAAAAATTCCTTTGCATCACTTCATACATATATTAGTAATAACTCCAGCAGTTAAATACACAAGATCTGTCTGTAACATAGCAACCAAATAACTGAGTATATCTGTGTTAGATTTATTGTCTTTTACACTGGATAATCAATATACTGACTGCAGTATTAAAATAATCCATTTAACTCAAATTGTAATGGACTGTTCTGTCTTCTTGGGGGAAACAAAACTACCACAGTCCATCAACAAAATCTTACAATCCAAGAGAACCTACTTGCGAGGCTGATGAATGACCGTAGGTTTAGTCACATGACGAGAATCGTGTGTGGGAACTGGCTTTTCATGGAAACTCTGTACAGCTTCTGTAGGGAAGTCTGCATGGCCTCTCACTGGGGCTCCCGAAATAGTCAATGATTTGGGTGGGCTGGAAACGATGTAAATACTGATTACATCTACATCAAAACAGGTAGGAAACAAATGCATTAATCCACCCTTCAGTATAAAAACTATTTCAGTGTGTTCCATCTTAAAACCTCAAGATAAAATGCACACTTCATCTGTTACATTAAACCAAAATGAATTATAGAATAGTAAACTATGATCAAGCTATTGGGTCATACCTGGTCGTCTTAATCTTCTATGTCAAAAACACAGACAGTGCTTGAAAACTGTGCTGAGAATACTTAAAAGGAAGTAACAGGAGCAAGGAAAAAATTACATAATAAGGAGCCTCAACAGTTGTACCTTTCACCTTGTACTGTTAGTGATGAAACCAAAATAGCTGAAAAGCGCACAACTTCAGTCAAAAAATCTCATCAAGGGAAGAGACTATATGAAAAACCTGGGCACAGATGGGAAGATCAGTATTAAAATTGACATGAAGTTTGGACTTCACAGAAAATGGTCCAATGGCAGAAAACATGATAATGAAACTCAAAAAACAGAATTTCTTCATCAGATATATACCTATCACTCCATTCCCAGTTATATGGTCACCACAACTTCATCACCTCTTCTCCTAACCGCATGGTTGCTAAACCGTGTTTCCCTCACATCTTCTGTTTCATGCCTCTGTGTAGCCAGCCCTGGGTAGTCTAACCCTCAATGGCGACAGCCCAGTAACATCAAGTCCAGCAATGGCAAAGCTATGAATTCTGAAAGCCTGGAGGGAAAGCCTATGAAACAGCAAGTGCTGGGGGTACAGTCTCATTGAGCAAAAATGCTGGTGATTTGTCTGGTTTGTAAAGGTGTGGGGATGTCAACCCTGGATTGGAGCAAGACGGGTAAATCTGTAGGGTTTTCTCAAGGAAATGCAGGTGCCAGAGGTGGCTTACCAACATGTGTGGCCAAGCCCATAGTGGGCATCTCTGGTGTTCTAATCCATCATGGTGAAAGACCTGTGAGGACAAAGCAAAAGCCTGGGTGAGCTAGGCATAGAAGAGGAAGTCCATGGGGAAGAGCACTAGATCAGCATGTACAGAGGACTGGAACCCTGGGAGAAAGAATTTTGTGGAAAAACACCTGTGTGTAAAGTCGCAGGGTTAAAAGTCCAGACACGATGCCTAAGGGAGCAAAGCTAGAGAAAGCAAGTCCAAACGTGAGGCAAGCTGGTGAGGGCAAAGGCCAGAGGACAGAGTCCTGCTGGGGCTAAACATGGGGCAAAGGCACTCAGTGGGGACAGGAACCCACAGAGTGTAGCCCTGTCTCCCCTCTCCCCTTAGTGAAGCTCCTGGGGAAGGGGACAAGGCATAGGGTGCAAAGCCCTGGGGGCAGATCTCCAGGCACAGGAATTCAGGCCCCATTAAAGCATGCATCCTCAGGAAAGGCCTGGGTGGTAAACCCTCAGAGTAGGTATGGGAGACAATACTTGGGTGTGTCCCCAAAGGGTGTATCCCAGTCCTCCTGAGCCTTGGATGATCTACCCTGAAATGGTACAGACCCAGGTGTCTAACCCAGCAAAGATAAAGCCAAGGGAATCAAAGCTATGGAGAGAAACC